TGCTTCTTTCTTTTTATTTACCATGTCCCTTCAGGACGTAGGCGATCATGGCTCTCCACCTCCCTTTATCCCTTGGAGCTCTCAACAAGTTCCTTCCCTCTGCTAACTCCCCCAGACCACGATCTGTCATCCACTTGCTTAAGGCCACCAGGTGTGTCACGCGTTGTTTTCCTTTGTCACTGTTTCCCTCTATTCGACTCGTGAGTATCAGATTCTCCAGGCTCTCCTTCTTCATTATTTGTCCCAGAAACTTCAGCTGCTTCTTCGGGATATTAAGTATAAGCCTTGTTTGCAACCTCTCTAAGACCTCATCGTTGCTCACACGCTCGGTCCATGATATCCTTAGCGTCCTTCTGTAGAACCCCATCTCTGTCGCCTCGAGTCTCTTCGTCTTTGAGGAAATCGTCTAACATTCGCTGCTGTAAAGGACAGATGTCACGTAACAGTTCAGTATTCTTTTCTTTGTTACCTAAGAAATCCTCCTGTCTCGCAATACTCTGCCCAGCTTTTGGAATGCGTCCTTGGCCATCCCAATACGTCTACGGATTTCAGTGTCGCACTTACCGTCCTATGCCAAGACGCTTCCCAGATATTTAAGCTTCCGCGTCTGCTTGATTCTAGTATTCCCGACCTGCAAATCGCATTTCGGGTTCTTCCTCGTACTGATGACCAGTATGCTTAGTCCTTTCTTCTCACTCTCTGTCACTATCTTTTGTAGGAGATTTTATAATTTCTTTTCCTTGTCTGCTATCAGTACTGTCTTATCTGCGGATCTTATGTTGTTAAGATTGTGGCCGCCAATGCTAAATCCCAGTAGGACTTCCAATTCCCCCACCATTGCTTATTCTTCCAATATATCTGCCTAGAAATGTTTCTCTTAGATAAAACCTGATATCCAATGAAAGCGTGAAGGTGTCTGATATTGTTAAAAAAATTAAGAAAAGAAATTCCTCCAATCCATCAAATTCTCTTGAAATATCAACGCGTATTATTGCGCGTGTATGCGAGCGCGAGTCTGTATAATTTGGATCATCAGGTCACAGTGTTATATATATATTTAGTAGCATGAACTTAAATAAATCTTTTCCAATGAAGTCCTAAGAGACGAAACGCGTCATGCAAAAAATGTTTATATATATATATATATATATATATATATATATATATATATATAATATGAACACTCGAGTCAACACTCAGATCTTCTGGGTTTTGACTTCAATATATCCTTTAACCCATAAATACAGCATACCGTAAAACAATATTTTATTATATATATATATATATATATATATATATATATATATATATATATATATATATATATATATAAAGATATTTTTAGGTACAAATTTAATGATCGAAATAAAAGTATAAAACTTAATATTACGAGACATATTAAAAAAACGGGTGAAGCAACCGGTTTCGCTCCCGCTCTTCAGGCTTCAACGGGAGATTTAAAATTGACACATGAAAATGTACAAGAAAAGGAATTGTAAAAAAAAAAATATGCAAAAGGAACTAGTGACAAATGACAGCGAGTCCCAACAAACACTCACGTTGTTTGCACAAAGAAGGCTTGCGGGACCCGATGTAAAGTGCCTCCAGAACCTTTAGATGAAATAAGGAGTGAGACTGGGACAACACGGTGAACCAGTCAACACTAAATTTGGCTGCACAATCTCTGTTCTTTAATAGGTGTTCGCATATGGCGGAACTATAGGTGTTCAGGACGAGTCCATTCAACGGCAAGGTGTGATTTCTAATTTTTGTAGGAACGTGTTGTTTTATTCTCATGTCTAAGCGTTGAGTTGTTCTCCCTATGTAGTCAGCTCCGCAACTACAAACGTATTTGTAAATAATTGAATTAATTTGATGGGGAGGGAGAATGTCTTTACACGCAGATCGAAGCATAGGCCGAGTTTGAAAAATAATCCGAACTTCAGCAGAGAAAAAACAACAACGAACATTGGATGAAATTTGTTTAGCTATTTTTTCACATTTGGTACCAATCCAGGGTAATCTGAGGTAAACTGGGTATTTTTTGACAGTGTAGAGCTCGGCACTCCTGAACTCTTAAACTTTACTACGGATAACTGAATTAACAGTATCAAGAGGATAACCTAAATTACATAGGGTATCCTTAATAAAGTCGATTTCGTCGTTCAAGAAAGGCTCAGAGCAGATCTTTAATACTCTATGTAGGAAGGTTTTAATAATGTTAATCTTGCGCAAGTAGGTTTTCTATAAACGGAAGTGAGAAAACCTGTTAATGTGCGATGTATTAATACATCCAAAAAGGCCAATTGATGATTGGACTCTTTTTCAATAGTGAACCTCAACCTGTTGCAACTGCTGAATCCAAATGGAAAGCAGAACATCAGCGTGTTGTTAATTCTCTGAGGAATAATTATAACTTGATAATTTCCAGACCAGATAAAGGTGCTGGAGTAGTTATTTTAGATCGAGCTGACTATATAACTAAAATGTCTTCTATCTTAGAAGATACTTCAAAATTTACTAAACTTGGTTCTGCTGACACCTGTGATGGAACCTCCTCAGGTGAAGCGAAATTTCAAAAATTACTTCTAAAGTGGGTAAAGTCAGGGCTACTTTCAAAAGAAATTGCCAACAAAATCCGTCCTTAAAAGTGGCCATTTTCTTAATTTTAAGAAATTTGTAAATAAAATAAATTTAGCGGTTTTAAAAATCTTATAAAATTAAATTATACATTTGTGACACGTAATTTGACTAAAATTAGAAAATTTAAAGTTAAATTAATCTAATTTGGAATAAATATTACTTATAGCATAAATATGTAATATACAAGCATTTGTTAATAACTAGTCCTGATTTTCTTTGATCTTTATTGACGTATAGATAAGATCTTCTGTGATGACCGCTAGTATGGATGACCAGAATTGATATAAATTTTCGAAATCTAAATGAAGGCATTTTTTTTCGTTTTTAACTACCTAGTAATTTTTACAAATTAACATATTTTCAGCAGTATCTGTCTATATTTCTGAGATGAGGTATTATGTACATTATTTACATTATTCGGACTGTTGTCCTCATCTTTCTCGCCATATTTATTACAACGCCTTTATCCACGGTGCCAAGAACACATGGTACAGTAGTTAAAGGCGTTGGTTAGATCCAGTGACATGACCCAAAGAGTGTGAGTTCAATACCCGGTTAAGGCAGTGGAGAACTTTTAGAGGGAAATTAACAGGAGATAACTGACATCCATTAAAAACATAGCACGTGGAACTAGAACAGTGAAATAAAGAGCTCAGTTCGGCATTCCAACCAACGGCCGAAACGTTGTAATAAAGAGGACAATAGTCCGAATAATGTAAATAATTTTTTTCAGCAGTTATTCAATATTTTATTGACTTTTACTTAGGTTTCAAGAAGCTTTATGAAATTTGCATTTCGTCTGTAGGCTCTTAAGTTTATTACTTTAAACAAAAAATTAATTAATTGAAGCATGACCCAAACTAAAATAAATATATATAAAAAAAATATTTAGTGAAATAGCAATTAAGAAAAGTAAAACTTGTTTTGATATTCTGAAGAGATATTTGCAAAGACGTTAATGAAACAGAACTGAATATTAAAAGTGAAATAATTGCAGTGCGTCAGACGACACTTAAATCACGTGACCTTTTTAAGGATTATGTCATGTATAGATTCCCATTAGGAACGTTTTGTAAATGTACTTTTCACTTAACAATATCACGAAACCGCTGTTTTGAAAACAATGAAGAATTTTAAACGATTTTTTAACTATTTTAAATTATAATTTTATTTTAAATATTATAATTAAAATTTAAAAAATGAAAAAATTCTTGTAAAAATTCATTATTCATCGAAAAAAGTTTATTTCTTCAGACAATAGTGTCTTTAATATACTTATTTACAAAAGTAATTAAAAGTTTTTCTAATTAAATCATATCATAGTTTTATTGCATTTTTATTTTACAATACAGATCAGATTTTCGATGAAACGGGTAACTGTTTTATAAAAATAAAACTGATGATTTACTTTCTCCATGGAGTCTTGTTTTTAAAAAGTCCCCGTCCTAAAAATTTAATTTCTCGATAAAATTAAGTGGGTGGTAACATATGTAAAAAAATATTTTTTACCAAGATTTTCTAAAAAAAAAAAAATTTCAAAAATAGTTTCATTCATTTATAAATATGTCCTGAAAGTTTCATTAAAATCCGACATTTGAATTTTGGAAGAATTTCCAAATCAATTTGTCTTTTACCAGAAAAAAACGTAAAAAAACTAACTTTTATCTTTGGTCCGCCGCTGACGTAAAAAAAATAAATAAATAAATAAATAAATAAAAAGATTTTAATTAAAATTTACAACGTGCTACGAAGGAGTAAAAAATTTCAAAAAATAATACAAAAATTCTTTTGTCATTTCTCTTAATAATAACATAAACATTTTAATGACAAAACTTTGTTTTTATTGAGTTTGGGTCCCTTTTTCATCATGCTATGCTGTTTTTTACGCGACCAAGTGGAGGTACCTATATGCATACATACTGTGTGTGTGTTTATGTAAGATCGAATATATAAAAGCCAGTTGGATTTAAAAAAAATTTCTTCTGTTACCAACGATTCGTTTAGTAATCCCAGCATCAGAACAACTGAAACATTTAAGAAAAAATCGATACCATAGCAACCTTGCTACTTATATTGATTGATTTATTTGTTTTTGATGATCTATCAACCCTTTTGCATGTTATTTAAAACCAGAAAATATTTTTAAATTGGAAGTATTTTTGGGAGATACTAATGATTTACTAATACAAGCCCTACTAATTAATCCTTATCTGGGGGGACTAGAGGTGAATAGATACCTTTCCCAAAGGTATTTGCATGTCTGTGTATGATGAATATAACCAACCAGACTGAAATTAGCACCCAGCATACTGATTTCCAATTCCGAGTCATTATTTATCACACGACTGGCACATCCAAACACCTGTTATTCTCAAGTAGTTACCCATCCAGGTACTGACCAGGATCGACCTTGCTTAACGTCGGTAATTGTACGAGAACCTGTGTTTCACCATGATATGGCCGTAACATTGCTTCTGAGAAACGCTATGTTTAATTTGGATTTTTTTAAAAAATTTATCAGTTAATAATATTCGTGAATAAAATATTTTTAATTTTATTAACTGTTAAATTAACAGACGCACAATTGAATGGTGAACTTGTTGCAAGTGCCTGATATATGAGTTTCTTTGAAATAATGGTAATAAAGAATTTGGGCTAAGTGGGATATGGCTTTCAAGAAATGCGACTGAATAATTTCCATGTATTTTTAAATACATGGAAATTACAATATTCTGTAGAAGATATAAACATTTATATTATTCATATCTCTTTTAGATTAAAATTAAAAAAAAAAAAATATTGCCTTGTTGTTTGACATTCTCACGAAATTTTCTCCGCAGGTTTGAAATAGAAAAATATTGAATGATCGCAAACATAAAAGCAGTTTTGTCACCTTTCCTTTCGTTTATAGTATGATGATGATTATTATCATTGTACACGCATCGGGGAGATTATTATTAGCAGATCGATGTGTAGTTTTTATATTCAACTTAGAAATTGTGTCTGCATTCATGCTTTTCAAATGAATTTGTGTAGCTACAAATTGTGGATAAAATCGTTTCACTTTCTGTTTGGACGAAAGCAATAGAAAAAAGATGAAGACATTGTGCTGGATAGAAAAGAAAAAAGAGGATAGATGAAGAAAGAAAGAAAGAAAGAAAGAAAGAAAGAAAGAAAGAAAGAAAGAAAGAAAAAAAAAAGAAGAGCTTAAATGAAATAAGAAAATAAAGGAAGGAAGGAAGGAGAGAAGAAAGAAAGAAAGAAAGAAAGAAAGAAAGAAAGAAAGAAATATGAGGTTAAATGTAATACGAAAATAAAGGAAGGAAGGAAGGAAGGAAGGAGAGAAGAAAGATCGAAAAAAAGAAAGAAAGAAAGAAAGAAAAAGAGGATCGATAAAATCCGAAAAGAAAGAAAGAAAAAAAGAAAGAAGAGTATCGATAAAATAAGAAAAATGGAAGGAAGGAATGGAAGAAAGGAAGGAAAAAAGAAAGAAAGAAAGAAAGAAAGAAAGAAAGAAAAAGAGGATCGATAAAATCAGAAAAGAAAGAAACAAAGAAAAAGAGGATCGATAAAATCAGAAAAGAAAGAAAGAAAGAAAGAAAGAAAGAAGAGTATCGATAGAATAAGAAAAATGGAAGGAAGGAATAGAAGAAAGAAAGAAAGAAAGAAAGAAAGAAAGAAAGAAAGAAAAAATAGAAGCGATAAAATAAGAAGAAAAACTAGAAAGTAGTTAAAAAAGACAAATTATAAAGAAAAGACAAAAAACATCGAACAACTCTGCTATTCTAGCGTCCATCTTGCGAGAAAAGAAGACATTACAGCTCTAAAAATGGGAAAGAGATATTATGCCTATAAAAACACTTGTCTTACAAATGGTTCAACTAATTCAAGAAGAACAATAAAAAAAAATGGAACGACCAGCAGCTGGGCGTTCAATCAGAGTGTACGGTGAATCGCTCTTTTAGAGTCTTACACATTTGAATACTTGATTTATTTCCTCTGTATCAGAAAAGACAAACGCCACAAGTTGGTGATATTTTTAGTGATAAATTTTTATCTCTTAATGGTAACAAAAGATCTATATACGTTCTAAAAGTACACGCGAAGAGGCGATAAACATGGGACATGAAAGACTTATTCAAGACTTTTGAATTACGCAAGTCAATGTTTTAAGTTGTGAAATACCTTCTTCGGCAGGAGCTGACGGGTCAAGCCTGTCAGTATAAAGTAAAAAAAAAGAAGCTTAACGAGAATCCATCCCCATGCACTAGTATATTAGCCTATGCAAGCCGCAAAAAAGAAATAGAAGATAAAATTGTTGTGTCAGTCTCAATGTCTGTGAAATATAAATAAGAAAGGTTATTTTTTTCATGATAAAAATCTAGGTAAGGAATGTATTTCAATTTAATTAATTCTCGTTTGTATTCTTGTATAATGTACCTGCATATTTCTGAAGATAAGATCTTTTACTTTTGAATTAATGTAACCCACTCCAATATACGCCACAATCGATCGCTTGTAAAAGCAAAGTGAATTATCGTGACAATGTGTATATATTTTACATACATTATATATATTTAAGGCTATATATATATATATAGTCATCCATAGAGAGACTGTTTCGCTGTATCACAGATCTTCAATGTGGCTAGACGTCCGGTTGCCTCTAGCTAGGATCGAAAACCCGACTGAATTGGTCTCAATCGAAAATTCTACGACTAAGCCATCGGCGCACGGCAGGAATGGAGGTGAATTTTAGCGTATTTATTTTTAGATAAACACACAGTGACTGAGAAGACTCGATTCGCTTTACCGAAGAGTCTTGCTATAATAGCCGTAAGAGTCACTGTTTACTTCCACACTTACTCCCCCAAAGAGCTCAACCGAAAGACATTTTTCAGGAGCCTTGTAAACACACACATATATATATATATATATATATATATATATATATGATGAAATGGATTAATCCGAAAGTTATTAAATTATTTAATATATTTTGTGTTTATACATTATTTTTATAGGTACAAGTAAATGCTCTGCTTTTAATTAAACAGTGTTAATTACATTTACCGGTTTGAATGTTCGAGAAATTTCGCAGAAAATATGCATTCTCTGACAGGAATCGAATCTGTATTCTTATACGGAAACCGTCATTTGACCTGACGCACTATACCATTCAGCTACAGAGAAGCATTTGTTTAGCAAAGCCCGAAAATTTTCGGTCAGTTCTGGCGCTGACTGCCTGAATAGTACCAATTCTTTCGCTCAATTCAGACAGTGACTGATTGAGTAGTACCAATTTTTTCTGTCAGTTAAGACATTGAGTGACTGAGTACTACCAAATGTTTTAGTCATTTCAGACATTGACTGACTGAGTAGTACTAAATTTTTTGGTCAATTTAGACACTGACCGACTGAGTAGTACCAATTCTTTCGGTCAGTTCTGGCATTGACCGACTGAGTAGTACCAATTTTGTCAGTTAATTCTGAGTAGTACCATCATCCAAAAGATGTTGCTAATCACCAGTTCCAAATTATCTGAGTCAAATTAAGTTTTTTTTTTCTGAGATACGCAAATCATTCACAGCTCGTCCTACTTCCAAGCGAATCCTTTTCATAGAGTTCCTCAATCATCTTTTCTGTTACCGTCTCGTCCAACTTGTAAAGAAACAACATGGATGTGCATCACTTCCGCCAGTATTTTCTTTTCTTTTCGTTTCTTTTCTGTTTTTTTTTCTCAACACAGGATAAATGCATTCACTCTCTAGAAAAAAAAAGCGGGGGCGACGAGCCATTACGTTCACCAAATATATTTTATAAAAATATTTTTTTTTTCGGTTTTGCCAAAGATAACGACGAGCTTTTCACGTTAGGGCATTTCCTTTTAGATTCCATTAGAGACATTGAGTACGATTCAGGGTTCCTTTAAAGATATCATTGATCTTCGATGTTGATTTCTCAAGACATTGATCACTAAGACAAAAGACAGATGGAAAGGCGATAACTGGCAACGAGTGAAATCTCATGCCATCTCTATCACACACACACACACACACGCATATATATAGGGAGGGTTGAAAGAAACTCCCTATTGAAATTTATTTTTAACTTTTGTTAATATCACGACATTTACATTAAACAAAATATATTGTGATCCCTAAAATAGTAGAGGCTTACGACAGTATGACGTTGAAGTACCGGTTCCGGTACGATCACTGAACTTGAGCAAAATCCAGCCAGATCAGTGCCTAAATGGGTGACCGCTTGGGAATAGCAGCAGGTGCTGTAAGCTTGGATGTGCAGGTGGTGTATTAGATAATAACTCGGAGTTGTTAATTGGAGAATCAAGTTCCAATTCCAAGCTGTTTTTCCTTACAACACCTGGACATCCAAACTTACAGCACATGACATTCTCAAGTTGTCATCTATCTAATTACTGATCAGGCTCGACATCGTTTAACTTTGGTGATTGTATGAGAACTGGTGTTTCCATGTGATATAGCGGTAAGTCTTTTGAGTCATACAAGTCATAACCAGAAAAAAACATTAAGCTAAAGAGTATATTTTTGCAAGACCGTGCTGATGTGAAATGTTCCCGAAACATGGTAAGTGGAAGGAAAATAGTCTACCACATGCATTGAATAAAAGGATTCAGTTAAAAATTCGGTAGTATGACGTTCAAACACCGGTTTCCGTACGATCATTGAACTTAAGCAAAATCCAACCAGGTCAGTGCCTAGATGGGTGACCGCTTGAAAATACCAAGTGTGCTTGGATGTGCAAGTGGTGATTACACGGAATTGTTAATAGGAGGGCCAAGTTCCAATTCTCTTGGGAAAGTTATGAATCTCCCTTCCCCACCAAATATAGGTTAATTAGTAAGACTTTTAACACTAAATTATTATTAAATCAAAAAATTTCTTACAATCTAAAAATATTTCCTTATTTTAAATATGTTGCAAAGGGTTGATGAGACATAAAAAACAAATCAATCAAAAATCAAATGCAGTAGAATTTCATTGCTAATTTCTATTTTTATTTCCAAGTGAGTAGCCCAGAATAGCACAACACATGACCCTGCATGAACCAGCTCAGTTAGCATCCTGTTACGAAGTGTGGCAGTCCGTGGTACAAAGGCAGGTATGTTGGCACAATGTTCGTAAACCCCGCGCTTTAATTTAATAAATGACGAGTTACTAAACAAAACTCTAAAACAGTTACAATTTTTGTCACCTTTTCTTTCGTTTATAGTGTGATGATGATTATTACCATTGTACACACACCAGGAAGATTATTATTAGCATTCGGATCCACAATCATTTCTACTCAATAGTCTGTAGAATAATTTGAAATAAACTGTTACCGCCCACCCAATAACCGTTAGGATAATACAATAGACCTTACTACCCATAATGCAATTTATATAAATAGTTGCACCAAAACAAAACACACATGGCCTGAAGATTGCATTCAAGCAGGAAACATACTATCGTCGCTTACTGTTGACCTCACAGTCCACTCATATAACAGATTCGCTTGTGTATTCAACATCTAGTTTAGAGTTACGGCCACTTCACGTTGAAACACCGGTTCCAGAAGGTAAGCATCATCGAGCCTGGCCAGTGTCTAGATGGGTAACCGCTTTGGAATACCAGGAGCTGTAAGCGCGGATGTGTAGGTTGTCTAATGGATAACGGCTTGGAATTGGAAATCGGAGAAGTGCCAATTCCAGTTGGGTTCATTATATTCGTTATATATAGACGCACAAATACCCTTGAGAAAAGTACTCCACCTTTTCTACCCCCCAGCTAATAGTATTTAATTGTTAATCGGAGAGTCGAGTTCCAATTTCCGTTGGGTACTTTATATTCACTTGCGTGCAAATAACCTTGGCAAATTCACCTCTTTTCCCCCAGCTATGGTTTAATTTGTATGATTTTTATCATTAAACAATTGTAATCACAAAAAGTAGGTCGGCACGGTTGAGTAATGGATAGCGACTCAGATTGAGGCATCGAAGAGCCGAGTCGAATCCATGGCATTCACTTACGTGCTAATACCCTTGGGAAAGGTATGAATCCTCTTCTTCTCCCCTTAGCTACGGGTAAATAGCAGGACAGACCGGCTTCTATAGCCTTGGATGGCAACCGGTCTACCACAGAAAGAAATGGCAACCTACTTCGGGAAAAAATCTGCCTCGTCTGTCATGTATCGAAAGATACATGGTCGCCTAAGTGTGTATCACGTATGGCACATAACTGACTGAATCTCAAAGAAAAAAAATTCATATAGTCTAAAAATATTTTCTGGCTTTAAATAACCACTAAAGATTTGATAAGCCGTAGAAAATGAATCAATCAATCAACCTGTATTTTTACAAAAAGAGAATGTTATTCCATCCACTATTATGTATGGTAACAAGAAAATAACTTTGCCATTGATATTCGCATGTAAGAAGTTCATTAGTACCAACACCGCCACAAACCAAGGAATTCTTATCATGACCAACCAAGAACAAAGATGAGGATGAACAGATGCAACGCACAATCAGTGAGACACATAAAACAAAAGTCTATGCCGACAACAAAGAGTTGTTTTGCAAGCTGACTTTGCGAATCGCAGTCTAGACAGAGTGCACAGGTGTGCAGTTTTCTTTACGTCTACCAACGAGAACTTTTTTATCAATGGAATCGTGTCTATATCGATTGACGTCGCAGCGATAATGAAAGACCTTTTCAAGATACATCGTTAATGTTGTTCTTGCAATGGGCCTTTTAATAAAGCCAATATTATAATTATTCTCTTCATCAGAATAACTGTCTATACAGTCGAACAAATTGTCTGTCTGTTTGAACCTAAAACTAAAACTAACAAGTTTTCAAACGGTTAGGCAACTTTAGCAGACATTTCCCTGGGCATCACAAAATAAACAAATGGAACACGTAACTTTTAACTTCCTAAAGGCATTGATTCGTGACATTTCAGCGTGTAGATGCAAAAAATAATCCGACCTAAATAGATAATTTATTTTTTAACCTGATCAAAATGTAACATGCTTTCATTTTAATATAACAAAATAAATATTAATTTTAATTTTAAATAAATAGTTCAGTTTAAATATTAAATCAAGGATTGAATTTAAATATTAAATAAAGGGTTCAGTTCAGAAATCTCTGTAGGTTACTCAGATAGATCTGATGAAGGCCAGCGGGCACAACGATCGAAATGTTATGATAAAAACAACAAAGATGAGGACAACAATCCGAATGTAAATAGCGTAAATAAGTATTAATCTGTTTTTTTTTTTTTAGGATTTTTTTCCAAAATTTAAAAATATATATGGAAATAAAATTCATATTAACTCCATAAATTCATAATAAACTTCCATGTAACTAACTATTCCCATATATCCGTCTCTTTCTTTTCTTCTTCCTCATATCTCT